CCACTGAATAAATAACTAGTAGACGGGAAGATGGATTAGAGGAATGTTCAGAGGTCTGCACAGAGAAATGAGTAAAGGTGACACGTGGAGGAAGGGCTTACTGATATGATGGAGTATGCAATGGGAGGATCCAACACACATCTATCTGGTGTTCCAGAAGGAAACAGCAGAGCAAACGGAGAACAGGCAATAGTCCAAGAGAATAAAAGAGAATTTTCCAGAACTAATGAAAGCTAGAATCCTTAGCAGGTTAAAGAATACCACATTCTCTACCAGATACGACAATGCCAAATAGAAAGGGAAGATTTTAGAAGCATTTGTAGGTAAAAGACCCATTGCCTACAAAGGAATGAGTATCAGATTGTCCAGAACTTTGCAACACCAACAACAGAAGCCAGAGGACAATGGCATAATATATTCAAAGCTCTAGGAGAAAATAACAATCCCCTTACATTACAACTGAATTATCATTTAAGAATATGGGCAAAAGAAATATTTTCAGACAAACAAAAATGAAGAGTGTTTACTGCTAATAGGTTTTTGCTGCAAGAATTACTCAAGAATATACTTCAGAAGAAAATGACCCTAAAAAGCAGCAGTGAGACTTATGATATCAGATAGATTTGAACAAATATTTAATATATAAAAAAGACTAACTGGGGAGTAGTGAAACAGGGCAGAATGAAGGTACTGGTCACACCAGTATTCAAGATGGGCAGGGAATGGGCAGAGGTCAGGTATTTAGACATTCTGGGGAGAAGTGGGGCAATTTGGTTAACTTTATTAAATCAACTATGCTTATTAAAATTATATAAAGGTAATCATATCAGATGAGAAATTATATGTACAACTCTTTTATTTATTTATTTTTTTTAAGAGTGTGGGCTTGTGCGAGTAGGGGGGAGGGGGAGAATCTTAGCCTGGGGCTCGATCTCATGACCCTGAGATTACCACCTGAGCTGAAAGCCAGAGTCAGACGCTTGACCGACCGAGCCACCCAGGCACCGCTCTATCTTTCAAATAAGTAGAAAGAACACCATTGAATACAAAGAAATTGGTCAATATTAAACAGATGCAAGACAGAAAAAAAAAAGAATCAGATGGAAAGCAGGTTAAGATACAACATGAAATCAGATGACTGAACTAGATTCAATATAGCAGAATTCAGACAAATGTAAAATGAAACTCTGAATTAGAAAGACAGATTGTCAGTTGTATTGGATTAGAAAAATTTAACTATATGCTTAAAAAAAGACATTTAGAACTTAAAGGCAAAGAAATAGTGAATTCAAAAGTATAAAAAATAAATAAAAGTATAAAAAAAATACTGGCATGATACTAGCCCAAAGAAAGTGGTGTGGTTGTAATAAGAGTGGACAAAATTCTTTAAAGCATAAAAGGAATATTAGGGGGGAAAAAGTCACAAAATAAAGACAAAAAGGAACAATTCACTGGGAAGAAATGATAACTTGCTGTCACCTAAAACGTAGAATCAAGTTATAGGAGGCAAAAAAAATTGATAAAATTTCAAAAATAAATGGACAATATCATAGTCACAGGGGAATTTTAACATGTGTTAAATTTAACACTTTAACAAGCGTAATTGGTAGTTTAAGATGACAAAAAGTTAGGTCAGATATAGACCCATCATACAATGAGCAAGCTTGATTAAAGAGACCCATGTGGGGGCATCTGGGTGGTGCAGTCAGTTAAGCATGGGACTTTTGATCTCAGCTGAAGTCTTGATCTCAGAGCTATGAGTTCAAATCCCGCGCTGAGCTCCACACTGGGCATGGAGCCTACTTTAAAAAAAATAAAAAGAGACACCCATGTGGAGAATGCACGTTCTTTCCAAGAACACATGACACATTTACTAAAAGCCCACATATTAGGCCACAACAATTTCTTGAGAACCTGCAAAGAATCATACAGACCACATTCTCAAGTACCCTCAACTGCTGGAGATCAGTAGTAACAATTAAATCCAACCTACATATTTGAGATTTGGGGAGGAAAAAATCCTCTAAATAATTCACGACTATTAACATGTCATGATGGAGAATCTAAGAATGGATCGCTCACATTAACCAGAAAGTTCAACAAGTTTGCTGGCTACACCAAAGTAAGTTTTTATTCACTTGTAATGAGCAACTAGAAAAATTTAGTTTAGTTTAGAAAATTTTATCCAAAAATAGCAACCAAAAATATAAAGCTACCTAGGAATAAATCTACCAGAAAAAGTAGAAAACTTTCATGTATGAAATTTTAAAAGTTCTTAAAGACCTAAACAAATGGAACAATAAGCAATATTGATGGATTTGTAGAATCACTTTTTTAAAGATGTTAGTTTTCTGCAATATATAATTTGAATGTGTTCCTTTTAAAAGTCAAAAGAGGTTTTTGAAATTCACAAGTTGATTATAATATATATAAGGTAGAGCAAAGAACCAAGAATTCCAGACAATTATGAAGGGGAAGATCAACATTTGAGGGCTCACTCCTCTCCACCACCATATCAAGACTTAACTCTAGTTTAAATAATAAGAAAGTGATATTAGTACAGGGAGAGATGGACTAGAGAAACATATATGGAAATTTGTATATAACAGATGCTATTTCAAATCAATGGGGAAAATAAGGACTTTTAGCAAGCAGCACTGGAAAACTGGTTATCCATATGGAAAAAATAAGTTAAATCTCTACACCAAACCAGATTTAAGTGGATTAAAGAACTGCTTACAAAAAAACATGACTTAAAAAGTTTTGGAAGAAAATGAAGAAGGATGTTGTTATGTTCTCAGGGTAGGAAAAGATTTCTTAAACACAGCACCAGAAGCACAAACCATAAATGCAAAGACCCATACATTTGACTACATTAGATTATTTTTAAAAAAACTCTTTTGTACATTAAAGACATCATAAACAGTAAAAAACACAAACCTTTGACTTGGAAAAGATATTTGGCATGCACGTAACCAAGAAAGGATTTGGCCCAGAATTTATAAACAGCTCCAATGGAAAAGGCCAAACGATATGACTGGCAATCCTCAAGAGGACACCCAATGGCTTCAAAACGTAAGAAAAGACATTCTTTCCTCCTGTAATCAGTGTCATGTAAATTAAACAAAAAGGATCTGATATTTCACACTCATTAGATTGGTGAAAATGGAAAAAAAAATCTGATGATGCCAAGTCCCGTGGAAGAGAGAATAAATGGGCACGTGTATTTTGGAGGATAAGGTATCAACGTCTAATAAGGTGGTGGGAATGCTTGGCCAGAGGATTTGACCATGTCCAGCTTCAGGCAACATTGTTTATCACAGTGACAAATTGGAAAAAATCTTAAATGCTCAAGTATGGGGTTTAGCAAGGGACAGATGTTTTATTAAGAATATATTGCATACAGATGTGTTTGATACTTTTATTTTCTATACGTGTATGCCTAAAATTTCCTAATTAAAAAATTAGGTTGGCGAGGGTTATGGGCAAAAGGCACTTACACTGTCAATTGCTATAACCTCTTCCAAGGGCAAGGTGGAGTTTGATAACTATTTACGTTGGCAAGAGTGTTGGGAAACAGGCACCCTCATACACCGCAGGTGAGAATACAGATTGAGAACACCTCCGTGGTGGTAATTTTGGCAATATTTAACAAAATTGTAAATTCCTTTTGACTTAGCACAATTTCCTCTAGGTATTCATTCAAGAAAGTAAGCAATGTTAGAGCAAAGGTTTATCTCCAAGGAAGTTCATCATAGCAATCACAGCACTGTTTGTAATGTGTGTGTTTTTTAAAAGATTTTATTTATTTATTTGACAGAAACAGCGAGAGAGGGAGCACAAGCAGGGGGAGTCGGAGAGGGAGAAGCAGGCTCTCCACTGAGCAGGGAGCCCAATGTGGAGCTCCACCCCAGGACCCTGGGATCGTGACCTGAGCGGAAGGCAGATACTTAACCCACTGAGCCACCCAAGCACCCCCGTTTGTAATGTTAATAATAAAGAAGCAACCTACCACCACCAAAGATAGTCTACTAACTATAACATTAGACTGATCATGTCTCGCACCATCTAATCGGTTCTAATTTATGATGGAACTGCATGATAGAATATTCTGCAGCCACCAACATGATGCTGTTGCAATTTTTTAATCATGTGGAAACTCTTGCAAAATATTAAGGTAAAAGAGAGTAGGCTACAAAATAGTGTGTAGAGTGTCCCATTAAAAATACCTAGCTATGCACGGAAGCTGAGACACCGACATGTCAACAGAAGTCTGGATGACTAGAAGGTGATTTCTATTTTCTTCTGTTGTGTTGTTTTGTTTTGGTCTTTGCCCCCAAACTGTGTCCGTGGTGTGTGTTTCGTTTTAATAGGAGAGGCTCTCCTGTGGCTGAGATAATTTCGACAGGCGGGCCTGATAGCCCAAGCCAGAAGGCAGGGAGCCGCGCACCAGACCCGCGGAGTTCCGTGGGAAGCCTAAGGAGTCTCTGGTTACAATAGAACCTGGCGAAGAGTGAGTCCTGAGTTCACCTCTGGCGTCACCACCCCGACGGTGGGCGACTGGGGAAGCTGCGCCACCTCTCTGAATCCAGGTTCCTCTGGGGGAGGGGAGGAGCAGACACCCCTCCCTCCCCGCCCCCCCCCCCCGGGGAGGGCCTCGCTCCCGCTTGCGGGGAGGGTCAGCGGGGCGCCGTCACGCGCGCCGCGCCGTTTGCAAAAGCCCAAGCGCGCCGCGTCACGCGCGGGTGGCGATCGCCGCGGCCCCGCAGCAGCCGCAGCCGCGCGGACTCGGGGCGCGCGGGGGCGGGGCCGCGCGCAGGGGCGGGCGACGGGGGCGGGGCGGGGGCGCCCCGCGGGTGGCAGGCGCGGGGGAGGGCTCGTCGCCCCAAGCTGCGGCCGCCCGCCGGGGATTTCCCCTGGGCGGCGCCCGGGGAAGTCCCTGCGCGCGCGGGTATAAGAGAGCGGCGCCGCCGAGCGCGCCCCAGGCCGGCGGACCCCAGCCATGTCGCGCGGCTTCCGGCTCCTGCTCCTGAGCTGCGGTAGGGCCCTAGACCCCCCCCCCCCCCCCCCCCCCCCCCCGGCGATACCCGCCCTCTTCTCGCTGGCTCACGCCGCTCTCTCTGTCCCTTTTGCAGTCTGCAGCCTGGCGCCCGCGACGCGGGAGATGAAGGTGGCTTGTTCCGAGGCTGTGGACTTGCCGTGCACCGTCCACGTGGACCCTCAGGGCCCCTACAGAGTCTTCTGGGCCAAGGTATGCGCGGCGATGCCCGCGGGCTCAGGCGCGGCCGGCTCCGCTGCAGGCAGCGGGGGACCACCTCCCTTGGGCAGGCGACTCTGTGTAGCCCCGGCCGGTCTCCCAAGTCGCCGGTCTTCCCGCACGCCTTCCTTTCCCTCCCACCTCGTCCCCCCACCCATCTAGGTACCAGGCGATTCGATTCGATTAGATTTTGTTCCCCAAGGACCTAATCCTTTGCCTACCCCTAAAGGTGGCCTGAGATGAACGATCCAAATAAGCTGCTTTGGAAGCGCAGAGACCCTCTTATTTGGTTGAATTCTGGAGGCCACCTGTGGTTGTGACCAGCAGGCCACGAAGAAAGCAGCTAGGGCAGATTTGGGTATCGGAGAGGAGGAGGCCTGTCCCCAGAGTTCTGATTTCTGGTGTCTGGGGACTGTGATGCCCAGAATTTGGGGACAGGGAGGGAAGGAATAGGCACTTTGAGAGCAAGGACTCAGAGATCGTTCGAGATGATTTCGGCTTGTTTCCCAGGTGGGAGTTGTCTGTCAGCCATCCCCTTGGTGGGTTCCCCTGGCCCCTCGCTGGTCGCTGCTGCTTGGCGCTCCGGCAGGCCATCCCGAGAGGCCCAGCATGGGGGGCGTCTGGGGGGGGGCGGCGTCCCTGTAAGAGAAGTGAGTTGCTCTGGGGCGTTTTTTTTAAGGATGCCTCTCAACTGGAACCTTTTCAGATGCTAAAACCGCCGTTCTGGCGGCTTTGCCAAGCCAAGCGGTCTCTGGTCTTTTGCTCACCTCCTTTCATGAGGTTACCCACACAGCACCTCTAGTTTCAGCCAAGTGCATGTGATATCCTAGCCTTACTCTGCAGCATCTGACCTTAGAGGAAATCTCAGAGCGCAGGCTTTTCTTCTGCCCTCCAAAAAAGATGCTTTTAAGAACCTGCAGCAGCATCTGGCTGTTCAGCAAGGCAGCATGGGACAGTTTGTGTGTGTGTGTGTGTGTGTGTGTGTGACCAGACTGTCAGTTTGCCTGGACCGTGCTGCACCACTGCTTTTGTATATTATGCGCAGCACCCAGTGTTTGCCCTGCTAATTGTGAAAGTGCCCAGGGAATTCAGGCTGGCACTTGGTGAGTTGCGTGCACTGGCTACATTGTTGCAGCCTTGGAGCACTGTCTTGTGTAGCAAAGTAGGTTTGTGATTATTCCCACTTCATTTCTGCTTTATTCACTGTGGGATCAGAGAACGTCGCAATTCCAAAATGGTTCTTGTAGTAAAAACAATAGCACCCAAACAAAAATATTGTAAAAACATGATCGTTTGAGTGCTCACTCTATGCCAGCCTCTGAGGTAAATATTTACCTACGTTATCTGTTTCGGTCCTTCCAATGGACTTAAGAGAGCAGTCCTGCTACTGCTGTTCCCATTTTACAGATGAGGAAACTGAGTCTCAGGGAGGGAAGGAATGCCTGCTCACTGTTACACGGCTGGCTGAATGATGAGGGAGGGATTTGAACTAAGTAGTCTCATTCCACAGCCTGAGTGCTCAGAGGCCTATCTTGATGTCTCTGTTTTCTACCTCAGTTACTTAAGGTAAAGAAAATAAAAGTGTCCTTGGTCTGGCCAGGCAGGGACTTAGTTATCTTAAAGAAGGGGGGGGGCATGACACCATGATCCCTTGCCAAGACGAATTTAAAAAAGAAAATAATATAAATATTCCCAGGGGAGTAATTAAAAAGTACTCATGAAACAAGTAGATGGGATTTCAGACTGTAAAGTTCCAACAGTGGTCAAGGTAAATCCTCTTGCACAAAGTCATTTGGAATGAGTAAACCATAGCAATTAACCTTTGGCTTCTCCTTGGATGTCAGCCGATGATGTAACTCTATAATATATGTGCTTGTTTACTGAACACGGTTCTTGCGTGATTTACCCTGAAGGTCTCCCAAAACCCTGTTAAAAAAAAAAAAAGACAGCAGTCTCTTGGCATTTTCTTTTTTTCTGTTGGTTCATGGAATAGGGTCACTGCAAAATCATGCTGTTGTTATTTTTTTTTTTTTTTAGATTTTATTTATTTATTTGAGAGAGAGAATGAGATAGAGAGCATGAGAGGGGGGGAGGGTCCGAGGGAGAAGCAGACTCCCTGGCTGAGCAGGGAGCCCGATGCGGGACTCGATCCCGGGACTCCAGGATCAGGACCCGAGCCGAAGGCAGTCGCTTAACCAACTGAGCCACTCAGGCGCCCCTGTTATTTTTTTTAAAGAGGGAAAGGGTGATCAGGTCCCGGTGGAGAGGGGAGCTTTGTGATGCCGATAAACGATTCGGATCCCTTGAAAACGAAATGAATTGTTCCTTCAAGTGCTCTTTAACAGGTCTCTGCATGTTCTGTAGATATTTATTCTTTCCCAGCCCAGTAATTATACTTCTGTGCTGATTGTGTTTGTACAACAAAAGTGGATAGAGTATTCTGGAAATCAGGTCAGTGGTGAAATACTGAAATACTTGGTTTTACAGAAGGTTGAGCAGCTTGTCGTTTTTTCCCCACACCACTTTCTTGTAAAATGTTTCTGGGCACTGAAGAGGTGGCTTTGAAAGAGGACTTTAAACCTGATGGCCACAGCTGGCCTCACTCATGTCACCTCCCTCATCATCGCTAGTATGGTTTTTCAGACTCTTTGCACAGCTGTGGGCCCTGAGCTGGACAAGGGAAGCAGAGTCCTTTGGAGTGGGTTTGTTGTTGTTGTTTTTTGTTTTGTATTTACCATCCACCAGATTGATTCACATTCTCATAGGTCTTCTGCATATCACAATTACGGTTATAATGACTCACAATTTAAATTTCTGTGTACCACTCAGTTCACCCCCACCACAGGGCGTCCTGCCACTGTCCAATTGGCAGTGATTACTAGTGATTACCAAAGGACCCATGTAAACCATGTGTTTCTTATCATGTGCCTTTTACGGGAAGACCCAAAGCAGAGGGCATCCAATTAGTGTTTGTGATATTAGGGCGAGTGGGGAAGAAGCAGTGTCCATTTTATCTTCTGTTTCAAAGGCACAGTGAGAGGGGGCTGGGGGAGGCTTAATACAGACATGCACAGGGGGTTCATAGGGGGAGCCAAGGGTGGGCAGAGATAGCCCAATTCCTGTTAACCCAACTCTTATTTCCCATGGACCAGTGGCCTTCTAACTGGGATCCATCAGTGGGGCCTCCTCTCATCCTTTCCTGCATGTACCTGTTAAGACAGGGTGGGTGGTTGAGAAGAAATAGAAATGTGCCTTCACATATCCATTAGAATAGTAGCTAAATTTAGCCTTTAAAGTTGTGAATTGACTGTGGTTGTTTAGGGAGGTATTTTGAAAAATTATGCAAGCAGACTTTGGTCCAGCACTCTCTCCCATTGGCTGCAAGCGTCTTGCATCAGAGGGCATAGCACCATCCCTTGTCTCCCAGGAGTAAGCACATCCATTAAAGGGCTACTCCTGGGCGCCTGGGTGGCTCAGTCATTTGGCGTCTGCCTTTGGCTCAGGTCATGATCCCGGGGTCCTGGGATCGAGCCCCGCATTGGGCTCTCTGCTCTGCGGGAAGCCTGCTTCTCCCTCTCCCACTCCCCCTGCTTGTGTTCCCTCTCCCGTGCTGTCTCTCTCTGTCAAATAAATAAAGAAAATCTTAAAAAAAAAAGGGGCTACTCCTGAGCTTTCTGCTGAGTGTAAGTGGGGTCACAGTCTCTTTAATGAAGCTGCACTAGTTTGGAGGGAGAGGATGATACTGGATGGAGTGTTTGAGCACGGTGGTGTTCGCTACTGATAATAACAAGTGGTTATTTATCAGAGAGATGTACTACCATCTTGTAGCATGCTAGGAGCCCCAATCGCCTATGTTGATGCATAACGAAAGAGGATATACAGTGTCAACCTAGGATGATATTGCGGGGGTGAGGACACGTCACAAGACAAATGCCCTTTTCAGATTTTTTCCAACGGAAGGGAGAAAGGGGAAGTAAGACTGATTTCAGAGGTCAGTCTTGATTTTGGAAGAGTGAGAAGAGCCCCCAGCTGTGGCCGATCATGGGCTACCCCCTGGCCCAACAGGGCTGGCAGAGAGCCCGTTAATGGCTTGCAGGAAGCGACTTGCAAAGTTCAAGGATAGTCACCGCGCAGATCTTGCTTCTTCTTGATTTGTTATGAAGCTGTCTTCCATGTATATTGCGAATCTCTTCAGTGTAGTTCTGTTTTCTGTCTCGACTATCGTTGTGTGATGATGCACCACAAAGCAAGAAGCCCTGCGAAAGCAGAATCCCTTAGTAGGCACTGGAGCTGATGAACGGTCTGGGCAGATGTGATCTGTTCGGCCACAGACGCTGATGGACCCGTGAAGGAGCCAGTGTGTGCCACTCACTAGACTTCCTTGATTCTAGAATTTTATCTGCTGTAAGATAGATTTAAGAACATATATTTAGGCGAGAAAGGAAACATTTCCTATATTAAACAGAGAAGCCCTGAAACATTGAAATGTGAAAACAATGTGTGTGTGTGTTAGCATCAAAGGAAAGTCCTATACTACTTGACCTGGTGGAATCACTTTTATGGGCTTTACATTAGGTCAAACCACGAAGGACATAAAGTTGGTTTTCAGAGGTCTCTTGTATTTACAATTTTTCATTAGTCAATATTTCTGACGTCCTAAATGTGTTCCAAGTCCTGGGCCTCATGCTGGCCATCTTAAAATCAGCAGGGAATTTTGCCGGAGGACCATCTTGAGCAAAGACGTGGAAAAGGAATCCACAAGCATTTTGCGGAACCACTGGGGTGACCAGTGATCTGGAAGGGAGAATTATACAGGAGAGGGTGGGGAGATGTTACAGAGAAGGCTGGGAACAGGTGGTGAGGAACCTTGAACGCCCACTTATAATGGCTTGAACTCCTTTTGGCAGCAAGGAGTCATTGAAAGTTTTTAAGCAAAGAGGATGACCTAATGACACGTATTTGTAAAGAAGAGCATATTTCTTGTGGTGAAAGAC